TCTTACAGTTATGTTTTAATTCTGATTTTGTTAACTAGTTTTATCTAGACAGTTTTATTTTGCAGATTTAATTGAATTACTTTTATACAATGTTCTGCATTTGCTATTTATGGATGACAAATAGAACAAAGGGCCAAACTGTAATCATGTCAACATTATGTTTACAGTTTGAATCTATGAATGAGTCATTAAAGATTGTTGAAACCTTGGTAGTTTTGAAGGGTGGGCAAAGAACTGTTCAGTTTTGTCACACATACAGTAAAACCAAAAACAGTTCTTGTTTTTCAATCCAGTTGGAAGCCTTATGTGTTTTGCAGATTCATGTATGTGATTATAAAAGTCTTGGATGTTATATATCCATGTACTTCGATAGTCCTTTATGAATTTTTCAAAATGACAGTGGCTTGATAAAAGGAACAAGAGAATTTTGAGTTCCACATGGCCATTAAGTAATGAACAATAAGTCTAAATTGATTATTTGATCAAGTGGGAGAATGTAAGAAGGTTTATTACATTAAACCTACTAAAGTGATCTTCTAATCAACTTAGGATTACAAAGACTTATTGTTTATTAGGAACTCAAAACCTATCTCGATTAGGCAAGCCTCAAACAGTGTTCAATAAGGATAATGAAGGCTTAAGGGTTCCTAGTTCTACAAGGATTGAAATGGATTAATCCTATAGCATGAAGGATATCTCTAAGTGTTTCTTGATGGGCAAGACACTTAGAGAGATGCATATAAATAGAAGGCTCCCTCCTAGATCCGAATACAACACAACACAGCTAAACAGAAATTCACCCATCAGAGTTATAGCTATAAGGATTGGATTCTCAGGAGAAGAACTTCTATACCTTGCACTGCCAATCTGTTCCAGCATCATCCAATCTGTGCCAGCACCATGTCAGACTCAGGTTAGTGTTAAACATGTTATGGCTTTAAGGAATTAACAAATACCACCAGGGCATGCCCAAGAAGCTAAAGAAGGTTTGGTTTGCTGACTAAGAAAAGCCTTGAATGGGCTTAAGCAATCTCCTTGTGCATGGTATGCTAAATTAAGTTATCCTCTCATGAATCAAAATTTTTATAAAAGTGATGCGGACTCATCTATGTTTACTAAGAAAAGTTCTTCAAGCATAATTGTTGTTCTAGTCTATGTAGATGATATTATTATCATAGGAGACAATAAAAGTGGAATTGAAGAGTTGAAGTCTTTCCTCCAGAGAAGTTTTGCAATAAAGGATTTGGGCAAATCGAAGTATTTCCTTGGTATGGAAATTGCTTATTCGTCTAAATGGCTGTTTATCAATCAAAGAAAATATATGCTAGACCTTCTTAAGGAAACTGGAAAATTGGGAGCCAAGCCTGTTGAAACACATGTTGATAGGGCCAAATTAAATGTGGATGGAGAACAACTTGCTGATGTTGTTAAGTACCAAAGACTAGTAGGCAAGCTGATTTATTTAACCATTACTAGTCCTGACATTACCTATGATGTGAGCCCGGTCAGTCAATTTATGCATGATCCTAAGAAAAGTCACATGGATGTTGTTAATAGAATTCTTCAATACTTGAAGGGGTCCCCAGGGTGAGGAATACGGATGAAAAAAAAGTGGTCACACTCAAATTATTGGATATACGGATATTGATTGGGCTGGAAGTTCAACGGGTTGTTGATTTACAACTGGATATTGTACATTTGTTGGGGGAAATTTAGTTACTTGGAAAAGCAAGAAACAAAATGTTGTTGCTCACTCAAGTGCTGAAGCAGAATACAGAGCCATGACTTCCACCACTAGTGAGTTAATATGGTTATGTTTCCTTCTACATGATTTGGGTTTTAAGTCAGAATCTCCAATGGAATTATTTTGCGACAACCAAGCAGCAATACACATAGCTTCAAATCTTGTATTTCATGAGAGGACAAAGCACATTGAGGTCGATTGCCACTTTGTCCGTGAAAAAGTCCAAGAAAATTTGATATGCACTCCCTATATCCAAAGTAGTGATTAATTGGCTGATATTTTTACTAAAGGGTGTACCTTCTGCAAAGTTTCATCAGATGCTATCCAAGTTGGGCTTCATTGATATTTACGCACAACTTGAGGGAGAGTGTTGCGAAAGTCAACTATTCACAATTTAGAATATTTCCTAATACATAATTTCCCTTATCACATCCAGATCCATCCAATAATTTTGGGATTTGATTCCCTTGCATTTGTTGATTGTAACTCTATATATTGAGGGGCTCAAATATGAGCAGCCTATGAATAATACATCTTGCTCTCTTCCTCCCGTAGATGTAGGCTTTGTGCCGAACCACATTGAACTCATTGTGTGAGTGATGCTTATGACTTCTACTTCTTTCTACAAATACTTTTCATGAACATTGAGAACTCTGATTACCATGAAGCAGAATTGATACAAAACCAAAAATGAGGCTCCAATACCACGAAGTTATCCAAAAACACATGTCTTTTGCAATGACAAAACTCAACCCATAAACCTTTGCAAATGTATCATCTTAATTTAGTGAGTACCGGCACAAACCAGCGGCCAAAAAATAAACCCAAAATTAAAACTTTCCGCTTAATTTGTCCTCCATTTCTGGGAAATCAAACAGAACATAAGGTACGGCCCAGCCAAAATCTTTAAACTCTACACAAAAAGCAAGCAAAACAGAAGAATCAAAGTCTAAGCAACCTAAAACGCACCGCCCCTCCCGTCTTAGTTTCCTCCGTCATTCCCATTCGTCCTCCTTTCGCTTAAGAGCAATCTGGAGCTTTTCGCCTTTTTCAGGCAATATGTGGGCCATCTTCTGCTGAGTAAGCTTGTTCTGACGGATCGTATCATCGAGCTCGGAATCGGGCATGTCCTCGTATAAACGATCTCGCTGCTGATCGTTACCCATTCTAGACTACTTAGGTGGCTCGTTGACAGTGGCGGATTCAGGAATTTTCATTTCGGGGGCCAACGTGTAAAAGGTTAAAAAATTTCTATACAAAATAGACCCATTGAAATGAAACGATAATACTCTAATTCATAGTTAATAGATAAAACCATACAAATTTACTTATGTTCATTATCAAATAGAACTGCATCAACTTTAAAAAATAGACACATTGCAATACACCAGAAATATCTCTAAGAATGTGATAATAAACCAAAAAATTAGTACAATCCTCTTTTCCTCCCAAGGTGTCTCATCCTATTCGATATAAGAATTGGCATATATTAGCGCAATCCTACTCATTTTAGGGCATTTACGTCATTTTTTAGGTTCGTCATAATTTTGATTTTGGGCTTTATCTGCATTTCTTTGGGTTTTAGCTCTCAAACTTCGAACCCTTAATGAGTACTGTATTAGGGCAGCTTATACAAGCAAATATTTTATCAATACGTAAGAGTTAGGTTATTCTTGTAAAACTCTTTGTGGATTGAACATCTAAGGCTTTTACTTAGATTGACCTTAGGTCCCTTCATGCATTCATATTATACATGAAAAATTATTTTATGTAAAAATATTGGCTAAGTATGAAAAATGGTTTTTTAGAATAATCATTTTCTCAAGTTAATTTTTGGCGGCTTTTATTTCTTACACATCAAATAAGAAAACTTGATTTTATGGGATATTAGTATGAAGTATATATTGGCTTAATGAGCCATCATTTTTAGCCTAAATCGTATTTTGCACTAAAACCAATTTTCCATATTTTGATTTGGTGGGAATTTCATTTTCTAGTATTTTTATTTGAATCCAAATGGGGGATACTTCCTTATTTATACTGTAAACTTAAGTAAATGGAGTAATATAAAAATAAATGAAAGTAAAATGGGGTCAATTGACCCCTCTTGCCCCTATGTGGAGCCGCCCCTGCTCGTCGGCAGTGGAGGTGTTTAGTTTGGGCTCCGGCATGGCCATTCTCTCCAGTGGGTCGCAATGGTCATTGTGAGAGTCCAGGACGTTGTTCCAGTCAATATCATCCCCCCAATTCTAACCTTCTCCTAATAGCAAAGTGGCCTCTTTGTCTACTTCTGCATAATTGGACTTCCTTGGGCATTTACACCACCATCTTTGCATTCAAATGCTTTATGCCCACATCCTCCACAAGAATAACACTGGATTTATGATTTATCATACCTAAAATTTCCTTGCTGATTTGTATCGCTCCATCTTCCACGTCCTCTTGATGAATGCGAATTTTGTTCTCTTCCTTCATTGTGACTTGGCTTGAAATTGCCTATGCCACCTCTTCCTCCTCTTCCACCTCTTGTTCCTCTACCACCTATTCCTTTTCCATGGCCATGACTTGTTCCACTTTTTGAGCTTTCTTCATCATTTAAAGTTAGCTTCGTTTGTATGACTTTCTCCAAATATGGTTCTTGATTTTTCTTCTTCAATCTTTCCTCATGAGCTTTCAATGATTTAGAGAGTTGATCAACCGTCATAGTGTCCAGGTCCTTCGACTCTTCAATAGAAACAACAATATGCTCAAACTTTGAATCTAATGACACTACTACGTTTTACCATTTGCGCGATGATAGTTTGCGCGACGAACACTAATTTGTCGCTCAAAACACACTGGCGCAACGAAAAAAAATATTCGTCGCGCATACCACTGAAAACTTGCGCGATCAAAATTTTTGTCGCACGAAATGTCTTTGCGCGACCAAAAAATACGTCGTCGCGCAAAGTGAGGTGAAAATAGCCAGGAATTTTTTTTTGGCGCAAAACCCATGCGCGACGATTAAAACAACCTAGCGCGACGGTTTTCAGATTCGTCGCGCAAAAATGGACAGAAACCAGTGGGTCCCTTTATTTGGCCGTAAAAACTTGTGCGACGAAACTGGTCGTCGCAAAAGACAGCTTAGCGCGATGGGAAGAAGTTTCGTCGCGTAAGAAAACGAGGGATATTTTATTTTTGGCGCCAAAATTATCTGGGTGGGATATTTTTGTTTGCGCGACGTACAAAATCTTCGTCGCGTAAAGTTTCACGTTTGTGCGATGAATGATGGTTTTTGCACGACATAATGTTGTTTTTGTGCTACGAAAGTTTGCGCGACGAAAAATACCATGCGTCGCGCAAAAGTTTGATGTCGGCACGTGATTGCGCGACGAAAAATTTGGTTTGTGCGACGGAAAATTTGGTTTTTCGCAACGGAAGTTTGTGTGACGAAATAATATATTCGTCGCGCAAACTTCTTCTTCTTCATATTAGAATTCTGCTATTGCAGAGGCAGAATGCAAAAAAAAAGCATTCTGCCTCCGCCTCTCTTTCAATCTCTCTGCCGCTGCTGGGACTTCAATACATTCATTGAGTAAGTATTTTTCGTCATTAGTTTAAAAGCATTAATTTAAATTCGTACTAACGCTTTTTATTTTGTTTTCGTTAGGGATATTTGTAATTAGCGATTGGTGGAGAACGATTGAGAAGGTACTTACAGTGATGAGTTATATAACTTGGCGTTCGGCCCTATTCACGCTGAATTGTTCTCGGGTTGTAATCTTAACGGCGTCAAATTTTTGGGGGTTGCACGAGATGACAAGTTGTGTACGCAAAACAGCGGTGTCCATGTCCCAGGTAAAGGCGAAAGTACGGACATTGATTTCTATGGCAAACTCACAACTGTCATGCAATTGCTTTACAAAGATCGATACCAAGTGATCATGTTTAAGTGTCGATGGTTTGACACCAACCCAAATAGGCCGGGAAGTGTTAAAATCAATCATAGCTTACTATCTGTGAACATGAACAGACCTTGATATGATGACGACCCTTATATTTTGGCAAACATGGCAACACAAATTGTGTATCTAGATGACCCTAAAGCCGGAAGCGGTTGGAACGTTGTTCAAAAGATGGATCACAGGAACGTGTATGCTATACCAGAACTAGACCCAACTGACAACAACGTCAACAATGTAGCTGACCAACGTTTAGAATCTTCAATGGAAAATGATGCGGAAACACTTCGAGATACTAATGTTATACAAGAGCCATTTCAAATACAAGGAGTGTCTTCAATCGAAATACCGATTCAGTCAATTACAATTGACCTCGGTGATCTTCCGCGATATGATGTTGCAGTTGGCCCAAGCAACGACGATGATGTAGTTATAGAGGAGGCGGAGGAGGAGGAGGAGGAAGAGGATTGGGAGACCGAAAGTGATGATAGCAACGATAACGAAAGTTATTATAGTTCAGATGATGAATGAT